AAATTGGACCATGGTGTAGTTGGACAAAATGAAATTGGGAATATTTTGGATTTATTGGGATTTATTGGGAATTTTTGAAATTTTTAGATTTTTAGGCCATGGAGGGGCATTTTGGTAATTTGGCCATTTTTGTCAGTTTTGACAAATTTGGATGTATTCAAGGTGTTTGAAATGTGTTTTGATCAATTTTGGGTATTTTGGCAAAATTTGGGAATTTTGGCCAAATTTGGGTCCCAAGGGCAGTTAGGTAATTTGGAGGTGCCTCGGGGCAAAAGGCCAAGTTGGGTATTTCAAATAGAATTGGATAGATATCCATTCTAAATGAGTCATAGAATAATGTATTGTGAAGATATGGTGTACCCTAGTTTCAAGTCAACACCCAGGGTCAATCCTAAGGCTAAATAGCCCTATAGAAACTCTTCTTGAACTTCCCCCATAATGATCTTACCCACTAAATGCTAGAGGTTAAGGTCAATATGTGGAATTTCAAGTTGAGTAAAGAGAAGAGTTTTGAATTTCTAATGGTGAGGGTACATTTTCTAGTTTTCTAAGACTAGTCAATAGGAAAGTCCTATGGCTAGACCTAGGCTACTAAAGAAGTTTCTAGACCTCAACCAAAAGTGAGGTCAACAAACTTTTAATAAAGTTGTAATATCATACTTAATTTTCATTTTTTGCTTTTGTACCTTATTTTCCAAAGAGAAATATTCTCATCAGAGGTATTATATTTATTAAAGATTCTATTATTCATTTTAGACCAAATTTCATAAGCAATATATTGAATAGCTAAATGGTAGAATCTTTTTTAATTTTTACAACCAATACTGTCAGCATGATAAAAAACTTGAAAAAAATTACTATTAGCAATAAATAAATCTCCAAAAAGGAATAGAATATATCAATGAATATGAGAAGAAAAAAACACTAAAAAAATAAATGATTATGAATTTCTAAACCATTAACATAAGTAACAATTAAGTCTGACATTAATACCACTAAGTTAAGACATCCTTAGTTTTAAGACAAGTATTAAAAATTCTCCAATAAGACAACCAAATTGATAAAATAGTTTTTATATCCAACAATCTGTTTAAATCACTAATAGATAAAGTTTCATAAAAAGAGGATAAACATTTTATTGCTATAATAATATTTTCCTTTCTAAAAACAACTAACACAATCATTAATAATATGAATGCTCTGAATAAGAAGAAAACAATAAGTGTAAATATTTCATTCGCGAAGAAAATCAACAACTATCAATGAGGAAATTTTTAATTTTGATAAATTTATTAAACAAAAACCAATCAACAATTGAAGTACCATTTAGCTCAAATAAAGAAGATCCTTCAATCCAAGGATTAAAAAAAAGAAAAAAAGATTGTTCTTACATTAACTTGAAAAATAAGATATCTTCTATTCTTAAAAATCACTTTGATAAGATTTTTTCAAGAAGTAGAAATTTTAGATATAATATTTTACTCCAAATTGTATCATAATTATCCATATTTCACTTGGCTAAAAAAAAGTTAAGAATTGGGATGCCTCTAAATAATTTTTGTTTTATACCTCAACTTAATATTATCTAAAGAATAAATATCAAGACCTTCAAAGACCTTTGGGAAAAAAATAATACTTATTTTATTCCACTCTTCGTATTAAAAAAAGATGAGAGTAATTGAATCTCGTGCCTTTCCATCGAAGAGAGAGAGAGAGAGAGCTCTGCTGTCTGCGAGAATGGCGGACCGCTTCTTCGCAAACGATATGCCCGACTTCGTCGACGAGACAGAGATCACCGTCAGCGATTCCACTCTTCACAAGCTTCTCTCCATTCCCTACCAGAAGACCGCCGAGCGACTTCTGCGTGCCGCACTTGAACTTAGCGATTCGGTTTATGCTTCTCTTCTAACATATTTGGTGCATTTCTGCAAATATCTTACGAACAAAGTACTCTATTCGATTCATTCCTTTTTATTTTTCTCTCAGGTGGTGAAGGAGACTGGTATTCGTTACGAAAGCCACGCGAAGGACCCTACTCTGTACACTGGAGCCCTCGGAACGGCGTTCTTGCTGTTCAAGAAGTATCAGGTGACTAAAAATCACAGTGATCTCAACCTGTGCCGTGATGTCCTTAAGGCTTGTGACTCTGCTTCCCGTCGTTCGCGGTAACCAACGATATTCCTATTGATCTCTGCTCCCTATTTTGTTTTCTATGCTGATATTGGTTTTGGAGCAGGTATGTGACTTTTATATGTGGGAGGGCAGGAGTTTGTGCTCTTGGTGCGTTAGTGGCAAAGCAATTAGGGGATGGAAAGCTGCTTGACTATTATTTAAGGTCATTTAAAGAGGTATGCTGCTTAAATTGTCTCCAGTTTGAAGGGAATCCCGAGTTTTATCTCCTTGGCTTGCATTGTGTCTAGGGATGCTTCTTGAGTGAGTTGCTTGATACTACATCTTGTGAAAAATCTGTTTTGTTTTTGCTGGAAATTCACCCGTTGAAATGCAATTTGTATACCTTCCTTGTGTTTTTATATAATAAGCTCCAATATATTATTGTTCCAATCTGAACCGGCATGGTAATGGAGCATTTATTTTTTCGGTTAACTGGGACTATGTTTGCAGAAAACCATGGCTTAAATTCTAGATTATTACTGTTGACCAGTGTCATTCAATTCTTTCAACTGTTCTATTTCATTGAATTGTCTCGGTGATATGCTGCTTAAGGTAGTTTCTCAAGTAACATATTATATATTCGTTTTTAATAAATCAAAAGCAGAAAACTTCATTTTAAGTATGTTACGCATAATGTGTAAATTTCTTTGAGTTCTTATTACATTCTCTCTATTGAAACTAGTAAAACTAGAATAGCCAAAGTGTGTGAGGTGAATCATTGTTCCATTTTCACACTACTACTCAGATCATTATTTGGAGGAGACTTGTGCATTGGATATGCCTTTTTATTTTTATAATATAGTTTGATGATCATGAATTATATTTTCGTGATGTTGTATTTTTTTCTTTTGTTAATTGCAACATCATTGATAGATTACCAATTTAGTCATTAACAATCTCAACCATACCTAACTTCAGAATAGTTATGGTGGCCTTAGAAAAATGTTGTTTCAGTAAACTTGATAAACAATTTCAACCAAACCTAACTCCAGAAGCGTTATGGTGGCCTTAAAATGATGATGTTTGAGTAAACTTGATTTTAGAGCTGTTAAAATGACTGAAGAATGTATTAATAACGATTTAGGTGAAAGAAAATAATAGAAAATATGTCCTTCCTTAAAATGAATGTTGGAGACTTGGACCAATTTTGATGTTAGGAAAAAAATACCCTATTTTTATGCAGAACCAACAACCAATAGAGGTTATGATAACTACAAAGTGATCTTGAAAGAGACCAAGGTTCATAGATGAACAACATAATTTATATGATTTGGCAAAAACAAGTTTTTCCATTGTAGAGAAGAGAAAAATGGATTCACAGAAGGCATGGAGTCACAAATGATGTATAGAGGGCACTCATCCACCCTTACCAAACCTGAGTACACTCAAATATTTATAGAGAGGTAGCCCAAAATCTCTTTGATTAATTGTACCTCACACTTTGAAATCATCAATTTTCTCCTCTTAGTGCTCCCACCTAATCTAGGTCATTTATGTGTTTAAATTTCATTGGCATTGTTGGCCTATCTATATCCAACGTGATAGTCTAATTTTCCTAGAAAGATAGCATTCTCGTGATATAAGTTTATAGTTCAAAACCATAGTTATTATCATTTTTTTTAAACATAGTTATTACCTAATGTTAATTTTTAGAATTCAATAATACATGTCATCAAGATGCTTGCATCATTCGGCTCTAACTCGCCTAAACATTAATTGTTATTTTGATATCACCTCAATTTTAGGATTCTAGCTAGTTTCAAGGGAAAGATTCAAGAGATCTTGTTGTTGTTGAACAAATTAAAATTAAGAGCAAGGATATAAATCACCAAATAATAGAGGCTTCATGCTGATGCAATGAGACTCGCCTTGATGTAGTCATTAGGACCTACACTGAACTCAAGGAATATAAATTCAATATATAACATAAAAATCTTGAAAATATAAAATTTATTTCCTTTCACAATGTTTATTGAATTTTATATGCCTCATGGATTGCATGTAACCCCAAAAGACCTAAATATAGTAACTACTCAAAGTCCATCAAAATTTAGTTAAGCACAATAGGTTTCGATGAATTCTAAAAAGTTTTAAATTTTCTTGGTAAAACCACTCATTTTTTAAAACATTATCCTCTAACAAATCTTCCTTATATTAGCTTTTCTTTTTCTAAATTCTCAAGCTTAAGATTAACAACTTTAATAAGAAGTGAATTCTTGATATTTTATATGTTCATTGTATCTTTCCTATGCAATATGGTGTCCCAAAAATATTTATAAGATGGTGGTAAAGAATACAATAGCTTAAAAACTTGATTTTCATGGTCATTTGTCACATTAATACTCCCCAAACTTAGAAAATGAAATTAAATTCATTAAGATGTGATTTAGTTTGTGACTTTCCTATATATGAAGCAGTGTAAAATTGTACTTTTGATATAAGTTATTGGAGAAGCTTTTTTTCATGTACAAAGACTTGAATTTAAATCATAAATCCTCTTCAGTTCTTTCCTCTAATTCGTCTACCAAGATCTCACTCATCACAGAAAGCTGTATCTCTAAAAGTGTCTTTTTTTATCCATCTGTCTTAGCTTCCTCCCCTTGGTTCAATATTATGGCATATAAATTTGGATATCCTCAAAGGACTAAACATCCCGTAATCTCAATACCAATGAATCTTGGGCTTGAGCAAGGAATTTTAAATTAAATCTACTGCTAACCAAATTGAATCCATTGATATTAAAAGTGGAGCTGCCATTGATTTTTGGTACCTTTAACTTAATTATCTTTTCACTTAAATGCTACAGTGATATGACCTGACATTAGACCAAGCTATATAACATGAGATCAATTTGCCTAATTATCTTCAAAAATCTCTTTTAATGCGTGCTTTTTTTGTGTTGGAACCCAACTTGCAATCAAGTAGTTAATCTTTTTTTTCCTTTGCTTCCTCAAATCATAATGCTCTAACATAAATGCAGAAAAAAACTAAAATAGCTTCAGTTGATTCTCCTTTATAAAGGTTGATGTACCTTTGCAAACCGTAGTAACTTCAACTTCTTTAGTGAATTGTACCTTGCATGATTAAGAGCACTCAAAGATATGAGAGTTCTCTTAAGCTATGATGTACACCTAGCTCCATACAATATCCCATTCATTCTTAACTTCATCATGCCAAAATCAATGGCATTGAACATTGATTTGCTTTTCTAGCAGGCATAACCCAATGAACTTGAACCATAAGTAGAAATAATTTCTTATGATTCGGAAGCATATGATATTGACATCTTATGTCTATAATCCTCCTTTTTTGCATCTATTTATATTTTATTACTCACTAAAGAGTATCACTTATATTAAATTCATATCAATCAGCAGCAGCGTTAGCATATGCTGATTTGTCCTCGTAGTTTTATTTCCTTGATCATCCTTCCTTTTCAAATAACGTTTATGTATCATTTTTTTATAGCAGAAGTAAGGAACGCCATTGAACTTGTGTTAGGCTTTTATCATTATTAGAGGTAGACATCTTCTCAAAACATCTCCCTTTAATTATTGATCATTCAATTAATTTTTCTTCTTCAGTCTTGTTAAGCTTTGAAAATTATATTTTTAGAAAATAAATTTTTGACATCTTCTAATAAGCTAATTAAAATATTTTTATCATTCAAATTAATGCCATAAAAACTTGCATGATGGAGGTAAAGAGCACAATAGCAACTGATTTTCATCTTCAAGAATTACATTTTTTTCTCAAATCTTAAATAATGGAGTCAAATGTGATTTTATTGACATAGCCTCTTTCATGAAAATCAAAAATACTCATTGCTTATAGTAAAGTTTATTCAAGAATTTTTGTACAAAGACTCCATTATGAGCACTAGCCTTCCAAAATTATTTTCTACAAACCCTCATTCACCAAATACAAATGATAACTGATTCAATTTTTTTATTCTGCATTGGCTTCTTAACTCTTGACCTCAAGCATATTAACATATTGTATGGGTGTCCTTAAAAGTTCTTATTAGACAAAAAACATTTTGTCTCGATTTTCTAAACCTTAAAACTCTTTCAATTATCAAATTTCTCAGTTTTAAACTTTATGGACATTATATTCTTTATTAAACTTGCTTTGATATCACTTGTTTGAAGAAACACAAACTTTTATATGAAAGTATCAATTGTGAGAGAAATATGATGACCATTCCAAGTAAAATAAAAGATGCTAAACACATAGAAAGATATCAAGTTTGTATTTGATTTTGCTAATTCAGTCTATGCATACGAGGGAGGAGAGTGATTTTGATCAATTGAAAGAAGCTAAAAATTGTGTATAAATAAAGGGACATTCACCATCTTTACCAAACTTTTGTACGTTAAAAGCATTCACAAAGAAGGAGCTCAAAATACTTCATATTTTTTTACCAAATATTTTCATTGTTGTGGGCATCAATATACAATTAATCAAAATCATCCTCTAAATGTTGAGCCACTCACCAATCATGTTTTTACAATCCTTTTGTTGTAAGAGTTACTTACCTAGACCATTAGCCACCAAGTAGTTGTCAACCATAAATTCTAGTAAGTCATGTTGGTGCAACACTATCAGATCAGTCTCCTTTGCCTCTTTCTTACAATTGACTTGTAGTCGCTGAGGTCATAGGTTCCTTACCTTTGAAAAGAGGTTGGGCAATTCTTGGTTTATTTTTTTATTTTTTATTTTTTATTTTGTATTGGTGGACTCAAAAGAAGTCCTAAATAAGCTTAAAGAATCTATGAAGATTTAACCATTGGATAACTCAAATATGCATCCCCTATTAGCTCAAAGCAAACTATGGATAGTTGTATTTAACCCACAAACATATAAGTGGACCCCTCTTTCTCTGAGTGTTAGTCAAATCAGTTTGTCTGATGTGCAATACTAATGATTTATCTTCCCTCGGTGATCTACGAGAGGTCTAATAAAATAGCTTAGCATTGATGTGTATGCCTAACCCTAAATTGTTTTGTGCATGGCATCACTATCATGTGAGGCCTAGGTTGGCTACTAATAGATTATTTGTTCTAAATGGATCTCCATGTTCATTTGGGTTGATACCCTTTGAGTTAACCAATGTTTAATTAAGCTTGAGTTGGGGCTGTGGGGACTGCTTGTCAAAGGCCTAATTATTTGTTAA